AGAATGTTCGAGGAATGAAGTAGAATGTTCCACAATGAGAAAACGTCAAGTGGATGAACACAGCGAACAGCGAGAGAAAGAGAATGAGCGATGAACTTCAGAACGTTCTAGAGTTGCCTTAAGTGTGAGAACAGGTATATAAGGGCGCTGCCACAGCGAAGTTAGTTAGTTACAACTCAGCAAGCTACAAGTGAAGCGAGTTGCGAATAAGCAAGCTGTAAGTTTAATTGTGTTAACAAGTTTTGTAAAGCGTTGTAATTGCTTTAACGAGTATTTTAAAGTGTTTTTACGGTATTACCGAGTATAGCAAATTGTTTGTTGTACAATAAAGGGATACGAACCGAAAGATTTGGGAAATCCGGACGAGATTTCAAGGATAAGCCCTGTATGCAGCTCTCAAGAAAACGGTCAGGAAAAAATTGCCATTATTTCGTGTGTGTGTCCAAGGAATTTTGATACTTCACAGCCTGTTGCCTCGCTTGTTGTACGCTTTCTACTACGGTTTTCAAAGTTTTTTGTGAAAAAAGAGCACAAGGCAACCCAGGTTTGCAACAGAAATATATTGTTACGATTATCCTCGAAACCTTGATAGCCCGAACACAATGAAAACGACGAGCTACAAACCACAGCTGTCAAATTATTTTAACACGTACTCTTATGTAGATAATTATTTTGGCGACGACCGGGCTACGCGACGGCTGTGGTTGTGGCCAGATTAGATCTATTTCTATTTTTCTGGCGACAGATAAGGTTCTTCCTCTTCTTTTATGTCAAACTCATACAAATTCATGATGTCGCTGCCGCGTTCAAAGAAATCATGTCGCCATCGACAAAGCGTTTAGATAATGAAGATAACAAATTGGAAGCTGTGATCTGTAGCTCGTCGTTTTCAATGTGTTCAGAACTTGAGGGATTTCCCAAATATACTCGGGCTCGTATCGCTGGATTGTTAAATAAAGGCTAACGATGACCAAATGATAGTACAATTAACTTTATTGTACAACAAGAATTTTACAATACTTGCTAATACAGTAAAAACACTACAATACTTGTTAAAGCAATTACAACGCTTTACTGAACTTGTTACACACAATTAAACTTATAGCTTGCTTATTCGCAACTCGCTTCTCTGCTCACTTTACTTGTAGCTTGCTGACTTGTAACTCAATTCTCCGCTCACTTTACTTAGCTTGCTGACTTGTAACTAACTCACCTCGCGGTGGCGGCGCCCTTATATACCTGCGCTGGCACTTATGGCAACTCTAGAACATTCTGAAGTTTATCGCTCATTCTCTTTCTCTCGCTGTTCGCAGTGTTCATCCAACTTGACGTTTCTCTTTGTGGAACATTCTACGTCATTC